TGCTTCCTAGTTCTTTCCTCTATTTCCTTTTACTTTCCTCTTGTCCCACTATCATGTCCAGCCTTCATTTGGGTTTCAGTAATTTCTCTTGGCTACATTGCCCTTACCAGGCCTCTCACACCCTCCTTGCCACTAATTTTGGATCACTTGTTGCTCCCTTCTCCCTGGGTTGGTCAACACCACCTCCTTTCCCCCACCTCCCCCTCTCCCATGTCCTCCCCAGAACCATCGGGCCTGTTGTTTCCTCCTCCAGACTGTTGATCCAGCCTATCTTATCTAGATAGCCCTGCAGAGATAATAATATGCACCAAAAAACAAGACAGAGCAAGGCAAAGGGACAAAAGAAAACAAAACGACGAAACTGCCGTTTTGTTTTCTTTTTCACGTTGTTAAGATTAATCATTTTTACTCCTTCATTAGAGATGTGCTTGAGTGACACTGGCTGCATCTCATCCTGGCCACTGCCTCCTTGGTGGTAAAGGCTGATGCACAGTGACACCATCTGGGGCCCCTCACCGATTCCTGCTCCGGCACCAGCAGTCTTACCCCTCATACTGAGACAGGCCAAGGGAGTGGAGGTGGAGATTTGGACAGAGCATATGAGGAGGCCAAGCCAACATCTTGGGACTACATTTCCCAGAACCTACCAACCGACCATAGGAAGTTCCCAACAATCACATGAGAGCAAACTCTTAAAAACTACAAGGTATGCAGGCGAGAGATACTCAAGAAATACTGGGGCCAGCATGCTGGCTTAAGGATTTCTTCCAGTTGGAAGTTTTAAAATAAAATTCTTTTGCGATACCCTACGTCTTCCAACATTAAATATTTTTCTTAGTAAGGCAAGGACCTGCATTCCAGTAACAATACCTACTGTTGCTTTTGTACTATCAGTGCAAATATTAGTACAGTGGGTAAAAAGGCAAATTCCATATAAGCAGTACTAACAAAATAGTTTTCACTTTTCAGAGCCCCTAAAAGGGCCTCAGGGATGCCCCTCCACTCTACTCCCATCCTCATGCCCATCCTCCAGGGCACTGCAGACAACATGGTAAGAAGTGCTGGTCTAATTTCATCTGACCAGAATTAATTTAGTAACTAAGAAAAATATAAAGTCGTCTTTTAAAAGTCAAAACGCTATGAAAATCAAGTGGTGCTATCCCTAAAAAGGTAAATGCAATTTGCAAATACATTTTATTGTGCGATTATCATCATCAAAAAGATCAATGAATCATTCCTCAAAAAATATAGAACACATCAAGGGCTCAAGTAGAAAGCAAATGTTTTGAGAATGATGAGGGCAACAAATGTACAAATGTGCTCGACACAACGAATGGATGTGTGGATTGAGAAAAGAGTTGTACGAGCCCCCAATAAAATGATTTTTTTAAATGTAGAACACTTCATTCTTCATGAATGTAAAGTGACTACAATAACCATTTTAATTAAATGGCATATGTTGCTATTTTTCTAAGTATCTTTAAGGCCCAAAATGGTTCCAAATAAAAATCGATGGTTGCTTGCTCACAAAATATATATATATATATGTTTCTCTCTCTCTTTTTAATGTTATCTCTACGTAAGTGCTAACATTGACAGAGCCATGGACCGCCAAAAGAACAAACACGTCTGCTTTGGAAGAAGTGCGACCAGAATGCTCCATCAAGGCAGGATGGCGAGACTTGACCTCGTGCACTTTGGACATGCTCTCACGGGCCAGTGCCTGGAGAAGGACATCGTGCTTGGTGGGATAGAGGGGCCGCAAAAAAGAGGAAATCCCTCAACAAGATGGATGGACACCGTGGCTGCAGCAATGGGCTCAGACATCAGAACAATTGTGAGGATGGCACAGGACCAGGCAGGGTTTCCTTCTGCTGTCGGAGTTGCTGTGAGGTGGAAGCGACCCGACAGTACCTCACAATAACAACCACGATAAAAAAAAAAGCACATAAGTTAACATTTTAAATGCCAGTCATCTAGTACTGATAGTACCTGAACACTCGGGGATGGTCTGATATTGGTCATCATCCAGGTCTTCATCCGATCGCCCATCGTCCACGTTTGCAGTCTCAGGATGGTGTTCCCATGTGTCATCAGCACTGCTTCTGCTTCCCTTTGTGCTTTCCGAGTGGTCTTCCCGACCACAACTCAACTTGATTGCAGTAACAAGCTAAAAATAATTTCCAAACAGTTTCCAAGTCATATCTTTTTTAAGTTCTGGAATATGAAAACACTAAAGGAAGTATCCACCACTTGGCTGTCAGTTTGTTGTCCTGCGGTCACTCGGGTGATGCTGTGCTAGTGGAAATGATGCCACTGGTATTTCAAATGCCAGCAGCATCACCCACGGTGGACAGGTTCCACAGAGCTTCCAGACTAAAACAGATGAAGAGGAAGGAAGAGATGATCCACATCTCGGTAATCAGCCACTTCTAAGAAGCCCCCTAAACGTGTATGATATAATGCCAAAAGATGAACCCCTCAGGTTGAAAGGCATTCAAAATATGAATGGGGAGAGCTACCTATCAAAAACAGTGTTGACCTTAATGAGGTGGATGGAATAACGTTTTCTGGACGCTCAACGACTGATGGGAATGACTCAAAATGAGAACAAACAGCTGCAAACCTCCATTAATAATCAGAATGCAGAACGTATGAAGTATAACCAAACCCAGATTCACTGCCCTTGAGTCGATCCTGACGCATAGTGACCCGACAGGACAGGGTAGAACTGGCCCTGTGAGTTTCCAAGACTGTAACTCATTATGGGAGTAGAAATCCTTGCATTTCTCCTGAGGTCAGCCGGTAGTTTCAAACTGCTGACCTTGAGGTTAGCAGCCCAACATGTGACCACTATGCCGCCAGGGTGCCTTAGATCAAGGAAAAATGGAAGTCTTAAAAATGAAATGGAACGCACAAAAATTGATATCCTAAGTATTAGTGAGCTGAAGTGAATTGGTATTGGCAATTTGGAGTTGTGTTGCTATGCTGGGAAGGACAAACTAATGAAGAATGGTGTCGCCTTTGTTGTCAAAAAGAGCACTTCAAGATCTATTATGAGATACAATGCTTTCTGTGAAATCCATATGACGACAAGGAAGTGCAGTTAATACAACTGTCATTCCATCCACACACACCAACCACTAAAGTCAGTGATGGTGAAATTGAAGAATTCTACCAATTTCTTTAGTCTGAAATTGATCAAACATGCAAAGAAGAGGACCGATGACTACTGGTAATCAGGATGTAAAAGTTGGAAACGAAAGGGAAGGAGCAGTAGTTGGAAAATCTGGCCTTGGTGATCAGAAAGGAAGCTGGAGATAGCATGATGTTAGCACCCAAGTCCTACATCAAACTCAAGGGCACACAAAGTCCTCTGTGTGTGTGTACCACCCAGCATGATTCCAACTCTTAACAGTAAAGCAAAAGTTGAAACTAGAGAATTAAAGGCAATCTTGGCCTTCATTGCAATTTTTCTCATGATTCCCCATCCCACTAGCTAGCAATCACTTCCTCACTCGATATTTACTGACCTCTCTGTTTGTCACCTTTTCTGCTCTTCCTCCCCTGTGGCCTATGTGTATGACTTTTCCATCTTCTTCATCCTCAACTCCACATTTTACTTTCATTTCCCATTACCCCCAGGTTAGTCCCAAGAAAAGGCACTCCGTAAATAGAATCCTTCTTGATAGAATTGGATTCCCTACCTGAAATTCAACGATTGACACTTTCTAGAAAAACAGTCATAAGAAAATATAAACCAAATTCCCTAACTTACAGATAAGGATCCGGATACACATTAGGTTCGTCCCATTAAATGCAACTGTACACAATTTAGGAAGCAGAAGGGTGGCAGAGGTCAGCTTCCTGAGCTCCTGCAAGCAGTTAGGAAGAAATATCAAAGGCAGCCACCTCTGTGTACATCTGGGCACCAGCTTTGTTCTGAGGGACTTGTGGCCGTGCCAGGAGCAGTAACCACACTTGGAAACCAATAATCCAGTAGAGACTCTCTCCCACAACTTCCTTTCCTGTGGTTTTATAGAAAATCAGTTCTTATATAGAAAAACAGTTCTTTCCACAGAAATGCCTGTAGCTCTTTCTGTTCTCTGAACAAAATCATGACTGATGAAAATTCCAAGAGGTTCATAATACGGAGTCTAGTTCCAAAATTAGAAGAATGATTATGGATTCATAATTTTGCCAATATTTTTTCACCCTAAGATTCAAAATGTTTAATTACCATGACTTTAAAAAGAATAAATTGTCCTGTCACAGATGAGAAAGCTGATTCCTAAAAACAAAATTAAAAATCATTTTTAGACATTTTAAGGGGGGAAAAAAGAAGCTACTAAAAACTAGTAAACATCCAGGTTGGCATGTTAGAAGAATACAACGCTCTCTTTCCTATGGATCAAAATAGCTAACAGATAACCTGTAACCAAACACAACAATGAATCAATCAATAAGCCACAAAGAGCAGAAGGAAGAGAGAGGCTGAAAGGAGGGCAGGGGGAAGGAAAGAATTTTCATATTAGAGGGCCTACTGTAAAATCCAAATAATCTCCATGTTCCCTGAGTACACCAGGCCTTAACAACAGCCTTGGTTTCGTCAACTGTGTGTGGAGCGGTCAGGAAAGAAACGAAAAGGAAAACAACAACGTGTCAATGACTCGAGGCCAACCCACAGTGGCCTTCCATCTGAAACCGTAATCTTTACCGGGACAGTCTCATCTTCCTCGTTCGTGCACAGGGGCTAGTGGGTGTGAACAAAAGAGTGGTCGGCAACACAACACTTCTTCCACACACCACCAGTGAGAGAACAGGAGGAATTTACATGATTTCTCATTAACAAATTACCTTGAAGGGCACTGGTTCCGGTGAGAGGACCTCTAAAGAAGCATTTGAACCTCTGCTCCCAGGGCGTGTTCTTGAGTTTGAGGCTGGTTTCGAAATTCTATCTAGGTTTCCCTTTATAATATCCATGGATATCCTAAGGGGGAAAATTGTTAAGTAACTGATAGCATAGATGTTTAAATATTTCGTTAGTTTGTTAATGTTTGTGTTCGTCTAGGTACATTAAAGAAATAAATCCACAAAAACTCATATGTATAAAGGAGGGTTTTATATAAAAGGTAAATGCACATCAAGAAAACATCCCAACCCAGTGCTGCCCAAGCCCACAAGTCCAACATCAGCCTATATGTCTGACACCAACCCACAAAGTCCTCCTCCATCTCACAAAACAGACCCAATGATGCCGGCTGCAGGAGGAAAGCCGAGTCAGTGAATGTGTAAGCATCTCGGCGCTGGCAGGGGTCTTCACACGGCTGCTCCAGCATCCAGGCCTGAATTGGGGTAGGTCCATGCAGCTTTTCCTTGGGGATGTCTTGCAGGAAGTGACCCTTGCTAGCTGAAGCAGGGAACTGGCTAAGGCAGCTGCACCCTGGTCCGACCATCAGAAAGCAAGAGGTGCGAGAACTTGAAAGGCGAGGCTCACTGAGCCATTTATCTCTCCGCCCTTCAATTAACCCCACATGAGTTTATCGGTCAGGTTGGCACAATAAACTTTATCTCAGTGTTACTATGCAGTTAATTCATAGCCTGTATTGTAAAGATTATACCATATCTGGAGGCACCCTAAGGGTCCCCAAATTTCATCAAAAGATGCTTTATGCTTTGTTAAATCGTATGTGGTGCTGGTGAACAATATTGAAAGTACCGTGGACTTCCAAAAGGACAAACACATCTGTCTTGAGAGAAAGAAGGCCAGAGTGCTTCTTAGAGGACGGATAGCAAGACTTCGTCTTACCTACTTTCGGTGATAAGTTGTCAGTAGGGACCAGCCTGGAGCAATATAGAGTGCTTGGTAAAGTGGAAGGTGGAGAAGACGAGCAGGCCCTCAATGGGATGGATGGACACAGTGGCCGCAACAATGGACTCAGACATAGGAGCCATTGTGAGGACAGCCCAGGACTGTGCAGTGTTTCGTTCTGTTGTGCATGGGGTCTCGCTCAACGGCACCAAGCAACATGTTAGTGCAGGTGCAAAACATGCTACACAGAACAGGAGATCGTGAAAGTGGCAACATGAGAATGAAGAAATGAACACCATCTTAATGGCTTCCTGTGCCTTCAGGAGGTCCTCACTGCATTGGTGTGTTAGTCTGGGTAGGCTAGAGAAACAAATCCATGGACACACATATGTGTATAAGAAAGAGTTTTATATACAAGAGCAATTGAACATTGAGAAAACATCCCAGCCCAGTCCAGATCAAGCCCATAAGTCCAATATTAGCCCATATGTCTAATACCAATCTATAAAGTCCTCTTCAAACTGACGAAACACATGCAATGACGCCGAATGTAGAAGATCACAGGCCAGTGGGTAGAAAGTCCTTGGGTCCAGTGGCATTGGAAACATCTCAGTGTTGGGAGAGGTCTCCACGTGGCCACTCCAGTTTCAAGGGCTGCATCAGGCATCAAGGGATGCTTCAGGCATCTCCACAGGGATGTCTTGCACAGTCAGCCTTGTCAGTTGCAATGACTCCCAGGGTGTGGCAGAGAGAGAGTGTGTGTCTCCTACCTCCAAGAAGGAATTATCAGATTTTTCAGAATTCTCAGGAGAAGGCCATGCCCACAAAGAGTCTCATTGGCTATCTCCAGATTGACAGCCTATACTCCACCCCTACACTCTTAATCCTTAAAATCCTTAAATCTTAATCCTGGTAGACATCAGTTAGGTGACTACCAAAATTGGCCATACTTGAAGAGACACTCATGAGTAACAACTGCCTCTCAACCAAGACCCATACTTGGCCCATAGCTTTGCTGCTGCCTTCTCCAGTTTGGGCTTTCAGCCTCTAGCCTTTCCAATTCTAGCTCAGCCTTCGGTCTGGGTTCCCCTTCCAGCTCTGATTTCCCCTCTGCTGAAAAGGACATCATGGCTGGTAACGTGGAGGGGCAGTTAAAAAGAGGAAGACCCTCAACCAGATGGATTGCCACAGGACTGCAGCAATGGGCTCAAACATAAGAACCATCGTGAGGGGGCTCAAGACCAGGCTGTTTTTCGTTCTGTTGTACGTACGGTCACTATGAGTAGGAACCGACTTATTGGCACCTAACAACCACGGCCACCTTGGCTCTGCATTTTCATGGAGTACCTGTCTCCAGGACATTGCTCTGATTCCAGCTCCTCTCCCCTGCTAAATCCATGATTCCATGCCCTCGGAAGCACCAGAGAGCAAAACTGTCTTCCTCTACTAAAGGACAGGCTTTCGTTCACTAGCTGGGTATCGCTTCAACTCTTTTTCATGTTTGCAGACTTCACTGCACCCTGGCTGCTCGATTCTTTTTTTTTTTTTTTTTTGGCTTCTCGATTCTTAACGCTGCTGTCTAACGCCTGGCACACAGGCTTAAGCTAGAAAGAGAAGTGAGGCATTGAGAGTCCATTCATTCTCCCAAACTGTCTCCTTGGTCAAGGGCATTTCAGGTCTTCAGTAATGTTGCGGGGTCATACATGCTAGCTAAAGTGAAAAGAATTCAAAGTTTTGCATCTCAACACATAGCCTTATATGTAAATGGTTATCTTCCAACAAAACTTTCCCAAATCCCTACCCATTTCATATCAGATCATTTCTCTCACAACAGAGTGAAGACAGTCTTTCTCTCCTATCAAGTATGGAAATGTCCCCTGCTCACCCTCCAAGATGATCCATGCCTCTTCCTTTTTCAAACAGCAGAGGCAGAGGCCAGAGATGTTTTAGAAATAGGAGGAAGCATGAACATAAACAACCTGACGCTCTCACAAGGCACATCAAGGGATACTATGGGTTGGCCACTAACCATTTCACATGCCAAAGTGGATGTTTAAGGGGCCAGGAGGTCACTGCTATCATCTCAGGAAATGAAAAGGTCATTGATCTCAGCATTAGTCACACACTGGCCAGGGCCTCATTCAAGAAGGCACTGACATAATTTTTGTTGAATGACAGATCACCCTGGCTGTCATGTCACAAGCTAAAAACATAAGTCACCAAAAGGCCAAATGTCTTCAAAATGACTTTGCATGCTGTCAAGGGCCCTCACTGTCGCTCCCAGAAGGAGCAATGAGGCAGAGGCATGTGCAGAGCAGGGACAGTCTATGTCAATAAAGAGAGACTCCATGGATCAACTAATAGGCTCTAGAACGCTTTCCGTTTGTTTTAGAAATAGGCCTGTTCTATTACGTTTGCTCCTGCAAATAAGAAATTAAATACTGTTCCAGAGTAAGGGGATAACTGGAAGCCGACTGGATGAATTGGGACATGAGGGGGGGAAAAGAATACACAAAGGGCATTAAAATAAATGCATTTGACGACTTAAGAAAAAATATCAGCCATATAAAAATTCCATGTAAAAAAAAGCATCGTACGAAACAGGCAATTCTATTTAAATTGTTATAAGAATATAGGCCCTGAATGTTGACGTAACCAAACATGTGACTTAATTGTATTGATGAGAAGAAGAATGTGTAAGGACAGGAGCGAATATAAGATAACTCAAATACCATACTAGGAAGTCAAAGAGGATGTCCCAAAATTCATAAGTCAAAATGTTATTAAATAAACTTAATATTTAAGAAGTCAAGATGGTTGCCTCTGAGGAGTGAGGCTGTCAAGTCAGTTCCAATCCACGGTGGTCCTATGTACAACAGAAGGAAACACGCCCACCAGATCCTAAGTCACTCTCAAAATTGTTATACTTGAGCCCATTGTTGCACTCTGTCACTTGAGGATATCCTCTCTGTCACTGCCTTTCTACTTTACCATGTGAGTTAGTTAGTTCATTGTGCCAACCTAGCCAAGAAACACATGTGGGGTTAATTGAAGGGTGGAGAGATAAATGGCTCGGTGAGCCTCGCCTTTCAAGTTCTTAGGTCTCTTGCTTTGTGATGGTCGGACCAGGGTGCAGCTGCCTTGGCTAGTTCCCTGCTCCAGCTGGCAAGGCTCACTTCCTGCAAGACATCCCTGAGGAGAAGCCGCATGGACTTACCCTGATGAAACCCTGGGTGCTGGAGCAGCCGTGTGGAGACCTCTGCCAGTACTGAAATGCTAACACGCTCACTAATTCAGCTTTCCTCCTGCAGTCAGCATCATAGTGTGTGTTTTGTCAGATGGAGGAGGACCTTGTGGATTGGTGTCAGACATATGGGTTAATGGGTTAATGTTGGACTTGTGGGCTTGGGCAGCACTGGGTTGGGATGTCTTCTTGATGTGCATTTAACCTTTATATAAAACTCTCTCTTATACATGAGTTTCTGTGGGTTTGTTTCTCTAAAGTTCCCAGACTAACACACCAAGCATGATGTCCTTATCCAACGACTGGTCTCTCCTGATAACTGTTTACAACCATTGTGGAAAGCAATCCGTTGCTATCCCAAATAATTGGGAATAGAAATTCTATACGACCCAGTAATATCACTGCTGGGTTTATAAAAGCAGTAACAAAAGAGATAAAAGCACTTCAATGTTCATTTCAACACTGTTCACAGTAGCAAGAAAGTAGAAACAGCCTAAGAGCCCACCAGTAAAAGAATGAATAAAAAAGCTTGGGTCCTTATACACAATGAACCCCAGGGATCCTCACGAAACAATGATGAAACCACGAAGCACCTTTGACCTAGATGGGCCTGAAGAACATTATGCTGATCAAAGTTAATCAGTCACAAAAGAACAACTCTTTTTTGAGGCCACAATCATAAAGCTAAAGGCCAATACCAAAGCCTGTACACCAAAGGGAGCAGACTTTGAAGGTCCCCAAGGGAGGGGAGGGGAGGGGAGGGTGGGAAGACACAGCACTAGACTAGAAGGATGATGGGTGTTGATTTGGGTAAAGGGAGGAGAACGGTCCGCAGGAGAGAGGAGAACAAGCTGGACGGGGGAGTATGGGATGGCTGGGGACAGAGTATGGGAGGAGAGGTTTGATGCGTGGCTGGAACTATTGAATGCGAGAT